GGGGGGGGGGAATTGAGCTGACTCGGCTCTGCCCTGCTCTTACCGAGTCGCAAGCTTGGGTCCGGCCTTAATTTTTTGGCCGAGCTTTTTCTCTAGTTGGCACGGCTCGGCTCGGGCAAAAAAAAGCTTGCTTTCAAAAAATTAAGTCGGTTCTGCTTGGTTCGTTGACACCCCTAACTAAGGTAGTCAAACCCATTTACAATAAGGAGAAGGAATTCAATATATTGAAAATGTTCATAAGCTTAGTTTTGTCTTAAATTACTTAAATTTGACTCAAATATATGTGCCGAGCAATAAGAATATCCGATAGGGATGTGCATCTATAATTGTTTGCCTATAAAAGGCAAAGATAAAATTGATAAATAATTGATAGCGAAACGATGAGTTTTGCTCATCTAGCTTGTCTTAAAGCTTAAGTTGGTGGAATAAGATTTTATTATATACTTAGATTACTTTATATTCAACACAATTATTAACACTTTATTTTGCCTTAAAATTTTATCTATTTTTTAAATTATAATAACAACGCATTTATCCATTTAAATGTTGATCTTAAAATCTTGATGTCCCAATTTCATAATAAAAGATGTCGAAATTTATTTGATTCGATTCGATTTCAAAGAGATTTGAACCAAATTGAGGGTCAATATATCTATTGAAAATGAAATCATAGGTGTGGATTGAACCGTTCATTCCAATTTGATCCAATGCAGTTCCTTCAATTAAGTTCTCAAATTCACTAAATATGCAAAAACAATTTGTTGATTCCATAATTGTTTAAATATCTAAACTTCTCCACAATATATTCAATAAAACGACTTATTGATGCTAATGATTTATTATGAATAAATGCTTAAAAAGCGGTCTTGACAATGCTTAAAAGTGATCCCCTCCACTACACAAATATTATGCAGTGAAAATTTGGGGAACGTCTAAATCCTGACAATATCATTTATATCATAAAATTACCATTTTACCCTGGAGGGTGAAAGAAGATATCCATAGAAAGCTTTCTTTAGAAGTAGCAGCTAATCACAATGGCCCCGTTTGGTACCCATTTTTTTCAAAATGCATTTTTCTCTCTCTTCTTTTCAATCACATATTCTTTGTTAAAATAATATTACACGTAAATCCAAAACTTTTCCTTATTTTTCAATCATACATTTTCCATCAATTTACTATTCAAAATGTATTTTTACATAAAAATATCTTTCAAACACCCCCAATATATATTTTAACTTCTGTAAATTAATAAGAATATTAACAATTCTAAAAGATTCAAACGAGTTAGATGAGCAATCAACATTAAAACATAAAATAAGTTCAAATTTAGTATATTGTATACTCCGAAAATACTAACATAATCCAATGTCAATTGTATATGAATTTAAACTTTAAGTCGCATCTTGCAATTGATCCATAACATGTCATGGCAAAGATATGAGCAGTCTAGGAGGCTCGATTCGCCTCTAGGGCATCTAAAAATAGGCTCATGGGCTTCCCCTTCAAGTTGACCCGAAAATTAAGTCAAGTAGCTTGCGAAATGTAGGTTGTAGACTACATTTTTTGAGGCATGATTTTTTAAAGAAAATTTGAAATTTTTATTGCAAAAGGAAAATGCTCACGAGCCATTTGGTTTGGCCTAATATGAGCCTCTTTGGTGAGCAAGTTGTTTAGAGAGGCACGCTAACCAACTAACACAACTCGAAGTTGGGCAAATTAAGCCAGTTTTGTTCGATTCATTGTGATGACTATACCTAGCTAAGGATATAAGAATCCAAGATTTTAAGCATTTGTTGTAATTTGGTTATTAAACATTTAAAATAAAAACGAAATAAATTTTTGCTATGGTATTTTAGGAAAGTGAAAAAGGGCAAGTAACCGAAAAACCAATCAATCTCAATGGTCTTTGGAACGGCCCCATTGTAGATTGAAACGTGTCGAAAGAAAATCACAAATTCCTAGGTTGTCTTAAAATCTGACACGTGAGGAAAATAATTGATATTAATTTGTCCTTTTCGCGAGAATTTCTCCTCCGTTTGTCGTGCAGCCATGTGAGGGTTTCTTAATTTAGATAAATAATTTTTTTGGTAAAAGTAGTTTACATAAATTTGGAAATTGTGACAACACAAGGAAAAAGTGAAAAATTTTGTTGCGGAATATATAAGAAAGATGAGCACCACTTAATATATAAATACATTTATATAAGCACTTGCAAATTTTGCTTGTTCAATATTAGTAAATAGGACTTCCTCGGCACTGAATAATATATTAACTCGAAGTGCTTCGCTATGAGTATCTAACTTTCTTAATGCTCGATTAAGTCTTGAATTTTCATGTAGAACATCGTTAGAGATTTTTTCGAGTGTCGAATTAAACTTGATAAAGGTATATTGTCGCAAATTGCCAATTTAAGAAAGAATATATTGCACATATTTAGAGGACACCATCATATTATGACATGCACTAACTAACATAAAATAAAGATACATTAAAATGAATCATATAACTCAATCTATGATTTTGAGCATATCATATATAATGTTATTGTTGTAGTTTGATCCAAATTCTAGTAAGTATTGGAGTTTTGGTTGAAGTAACTCGAGCATCGTTTGCATATTTTCTCTCGAGACTTGTCGCTGGCCTAGCACTTGAGCGACAGGGTTATCTGGCCCAAAGCCTTTTTGTTTTGATGCATTTTCTGGATTCCTATTCATCAACAACTTTATATTGTTGTAAACAATATATTGAGATCTTTAGATCTTAATTGAAAGTATTGAGATATTGTTGTAAAAATTATTGCTATTGACTATAGCGACTCCTTCGCTTATGATTTTTTTCCATCTTGGTTTCCACATCAATCTTGGTGTTACTATTGTGTTCCTGTTTATTTCATTATTGTCATTATTATATAGTTAATTCATAACAGTTATCTATACTAGTATTGT